GGGAAATTTATGGGAGGAAACAATTCACAATTGATCCTCACCGCTTTTATCCAGGTTAGGGTGTTAGATTTACTCTCCCCTAGATCTTTACCTACAGAAGTAAACTGACGCTTTATGTTCTTCATATCTCCACAGAGATAAAAATGAATTGTAATTTTTGAGGAAAATTGTCGTCCTAATGATGATCGTGATAGCTTCTTTGTTTGTTATCGAGAACAAGTTTCGTCTGGGAAGCTTAATGAAGAAGTGAACTCTTAGGCGAATCGCCATGCACACAATCCTTCTACTTTGCCACCGATAGAATAAAGTTTTGCTCGAGTTTATCGAGTACAACTTTCTGTGGCTTTTGGAATTTTCCAAAGGTCTGCCATTTGTTAAGTGGGCTTTTCAATCAGTTGATCTCGTTTTAACCCTCATAACCCAAAGAGGGATCAGCATTTTAATTTCTCCTCACAGTAAAACTGCTGAATCATTCATTGATATCGTGAGAATCAAGGAATGATTCTAACCTAAGGAGCTTTGATTGTTAAACAAATTCTCCTTGTCAGCACCTTAGGAAGTGTTTAAAAACAGTTTGGAGAATATGCATACTGATGTTAGGGTGTAAAAGGTTAATATGTTTGTGTTTTAGATGTTTACTTCATTCCCTGCTTATTGGATTGCTTGTTTACTAATTTTCATTTCTTTCTTTTCTTTATATTTAGTCATTTATATTTTTACTTTACACTTTTTATTTACTTTGTTTGTTCGTATTTGTTTGGTTGGTTAGGTTTTTTTTTTGTTTTTTTTTGTTTTTTGTTTTTGTTTGTTTTTAATCTTTTATGATTTAATTGTGTCTGTTCTTTAGGGAAACACTGCATGCGCTCTATTAATTCTGGACAAAATGGAGGACTCGCAACTCAGCCTCTCAAACACTGCTCTCCGAACGTTAGTGTAAACTACGAGATGAATTTGTACGTCTGACTTGTCACCCGCTCAGACAAACATTTTACGGTTTCGATGATTTTCGATATTGTTAAAATACTTGCAACTGAACTCTTCGAAGTCCTCAATAAATACTGATTGAGTGCCAGCACCGCTTTGTGTATTTTAAGCTGTAAGTTGGTAAACAATTTATTTCAGAGTAATTCATCAAGATACTGATCATCAAGACATTGATTCATCAAGATTCATCAAGATTTTGTCATCCATCCCTTCACAATGTTTTGAGGTCGACGTCAGATTTTCATTGCATTTGTAAAATCACTTCTCTCCTCATCCATGTTTAATGTCTCTTTCTTCATTCTGCATTTTTCATCCAAGTTTCCTTTCTCTTAGCTCGTACCCCTCATCCGCTTTCCCTCTTCAACTATTTTGCGTTCCTTATCCCTTTTATTTCGTCCCTATCCTACATATCTTATCTCTCTTTTCCCTAACTTTATGAGCCATATCTCTTGTCCCTCGTCCCGTCCATGAATGAAGGACGCAGGACTCTCGTAAATTCTGTAACAGTTTTAATCTTCGGAAGCTATTTTTTTTAAGACTGATGTAGACCTTGCAACCCCTGCCCTTTCCTCTTTAGGCTTGAGTGGCACATTACCTGAAATCTGAAACACGCATCAGTAACCAAATGTTTTCATCTTATGCTCCCACAGACCCTTACACTTATCCGCAAGGAATGGCTTGGTACCTGTTGTACAGGAGCTCATAGCAAGAGGGGCCAATTTACTAGCCGAAGACGAGGACGGACATAATCCTGCTCTCGCTTGTGCACCCAACACACAAGTAGCCGACTGCCTGGCCCTTATACTGGCTGCCATGATACCCAACTTGGGTTCTCCAATGGCAACCTCGGAGCGCCTGGAGGAGACAGACGAACATCCAGAAGAGGACTCGTTAGATTATCCGACGCCCACACACAGTGCTACGGTGTGAAGGCGACAATTTGTTCGCATATTTTTATTATGATTCTAGGAACAAATATTTTATATTTCAATTTGTCTGAGAGAGTTTAGCTCTGAATGGGAAGTACCAATTTCTGGGGTGAAGGAATTTGTAACCGTACTTTTTCTTATTCCTTTTTCAAACTGCCGCTGTCCTTTACAGTCACAAGAACAGGGTATTTGGTCTGTCTAATATCGCTTCTGCAACAATCTGCAGTATCGCACAAATATTTCTTACAAATAGTGACGTATCCTGACGGCGAGACGTGGCGCAGTGCGTTTTGGGTTTGCCGCGATTTTCATTTTCTTTTTTTTTTTTTTTTTTTTCAAAAGTATTCCAATAAATGCTGCGTATTCAGCGCGGAAACGCCGTTCTCAAATTTGCCTGTCTTAGTTTGGATGGAGCCATAGACACAAAGCTCTAGTCTAAATTACATGAATGCACTTATTGATCCACATGGAAATCCATCGCGAGTTCAATTCGAGCCCAAGTATGCTTTGAATCAAATAGCCAGGTGTAGGCTCATTGAAGAGGATTTCTCGTCAAACTTTTGACTTATCTCGTAATTCACTTTTCTGTGACTAAATTGTTCGCTATCTTTTTTACCCTCTGGGAAACGCTATTTCTTTTTTTTTAAGTCTCGCATACATAACATGTGCAGCTTAATCAAATTCAAGCCCTGAAAATCGTTGCAGAACATTTGAATGATGGCAGTTAATAAGCGGGCTGAAAGAAGTGCAGTGTATATTCACGAAGGGAGATTCCTGTCCAGTCCAAACCCAAAAACCCCGTTTACGCTAAAGTTGAAACATCTTTTAAAGCTATTTTGTTAAACATGGTTTAAAATTGTTGTTTTCTTCTTAAAAGCTGCCTAAATCGATGTTTTACGCCTTCAAATTTTAGCACATTGATAGTAAAGGTTAATGACTTCTTGAAGCCTATGGAAAATTCAGTCTTTTTAGTTCTAGATTTCTGATTTTAATTCAGTTAAACACGGTTTGACTAAATGGGTTTTGCTGATGTGAGTGAGGTATTATTCCAGATTTTTCTGTAAAGAATCCCCTTTCGAACAGATTACTTTTGATACGGAATTGAGAGTTGCTCCAGCGCGTCAACCTTTAAATGCTTGTCTTTTAAGTTATCACGGACATCAAAATTGCCCATCTCAAGCCAGTTTCATCTGACTTTTTGCTTTGTGCTTTGCGGGTTAAGGTATGTAATGTACAGATATTTAAAATTATCTTGCAATTTCTTAGTATATTTTTAAACTCACCACCTCGGTATAAATTGTATAGTATTTGTGGCATCATTTTGATTAAGAATGGTTTACCATTTTTTGATACATCTGTTATTAAAATTAATACCAAACTTGGTCGATTATCGATTTATTTAATATTGCCTTTTTATTTATTTATTTATTTTTTGGATTACTTATCTCTACATTGGTTCTCTTAATTTCCCTAAAGGTGTCCAAATTGGAACCTGTCGTGCAGGGATGTTACTAAAATTAGTAACGGGGAATGGGGAAAGGCGAACGGGGAACGGGTGTACAGCGGTAACCCACCTGTGAATTCAAAATGGCGGAGTAAACGACGTTTACAAACACTGATTTTATCGCTCGGTCGCCGCTTGCAGCGAAATTAGATGACTCGCTTTTATTTAACTATTGCCCAGGCGAAGCCACGAAGCCTAGTATTCCGAGGCGAGAATTCGAAGTCAACGTTTCTGCAATGGCTGTCACCATTTGTTCTGACGTCTCTCTTTGTTTTTCCTTCCTGAAATCTGCATCTTTTGGCAGAGTTTGGGTATGTTGGTTGTTTGCATTGCCCAACAGCATTTTTTGCAGATAAGTAGCAAGGAGGTAATATCTTAGATTAACAGAAATGAGCTAGGAAACGTAATAACCAGCCTAGTTATTAAAATTACTACATGCAGATATCTGCTTACCTTACCGCAAAATAACATCAGGAACATATCTTTGTATCGACCCATAAACTTCCATGTAAACAATAGAGAAATCAAACATTGACAGAACTTTTAATAACATTTAATTTAACAGGAAAACATCAGTTATGTCTTCAAGAATGTAGGTGTATGAATTCACATTCATGCTAATGCTTACAATAATATTTACACTGCATTGATCATATTCAAGAGAAAGTGATTCCCATAATGGGCGTGAAAGTCATTCAGCTGTTTGCTTTACAACATTATTGACATTGCTAGGTTGTAACGGTGAAGATATTGGAGGTAAACTTCATTACCTTGCAGTACAATTACTCTATGAATATAAGAATAAATGCCGCGAGCTTGTAGTTCTGAGTTGATTGTTCAAATGTTGTGCATGAATTGTAAGATACTCACCTCTCCGAGGATTTGATTTCTATGCAACCTGCAATGTGTGCCAGACAAAAACTAAATTTATGAGGCACTCAACATTTCAAAGTAAAATCCTTCAATAAAACCTACACTTACCGTCCATGCTTTCTTTTTGCTCCGACGATCGCGTTCGAAGAGCACGCACTCAAAACTAGTTGCCAGACCCTTTTAGTTCCCTTTACTCCGCCATTTTGAATTCTCAGGCGGGTTACCGCTGTACACCGTTCGCCGTTCGCCGTTCCCCGTTCGCCGTTCGCCGTTCCCCGTTCGCCGTTCCCCGTTCCCCGTTCCCCGTTCCCCGTTCCCCGTTCCCCGTTACCAGTTTTAGTAACATCCGTCGTGCAGAAAAGTCATGAAACGAACATCCAGATAAACTGACGTAATCAAAATTGTGCAGAAGAGTAACTTAGAGAACATCCCATCCAAAATTGTGTTACTAAAATTTTAATTGTAGCATAGAAAACTCGCCAATCTTTGTCGTGTTTTATATGGGAAAATTAAAATAATACTAAAACGTTTTTGTAGACCAGTGCAGCTTAAATTGATGTCATCCTCATAAAGTGATGCCAAATACCTTTTTGTCGGGTCTTAATTGAAACCAGAATCTCGGTACACCATTGGACGTTTACAGAGTGGTATTTGTATTAAAACAGTTTTAATTTGATTATGAGCTCCTTAAAACAGGTGCAGTCGCAGCCTTGTTTATACTTTGAACAAACTGAGCAGAAGTGGTAATCCTATTTTATTCTTTTAAATGTGACTGCTGCATAGAGATTTTTTAGTGCCAGAAAAAAACTGGAAAAACAACGAAAAAAAAGGTGTCATGTCCGACACGGCTTCAGTGGTAGTCCTAGCTGTTACAATTATTGAATCATTGGTCATTATCATCTCGAATATTTTCACCATCCAAGTGTTTTGGAAACACCGCACCAGATTAAGTAGACAATGCTTTCTTCTCAAAAACTTGGCTTTTGCAGATCTTCTGGTTGGATCGATAGAAGCAATAGTTCTTGCCACCTCCGATATTCCAAGGAAGCTTGGAAAGGAGTCTCTAATCAAAGGAACGCCGTTCGAACCTATTTTACGTTTATCGCAAATATCATCTTTTTTTGCGTCGATATTTTTCCTCGTGCTGATTTCATTGGAGCGTGCATATGCCTTGATTCGCCCTCTCCGCCATCGAGTATTAAGCATGAAAAGTTACCTCTGGAGTTCCATCTTTGTCTGGATGGCCGTAATAGTCATTTTTGTGACATGGTATTTACTATCTGGGTACCACCTCTTGAATGATGCACTTTGGACAGTTGTCTACTCTTCAGTCACGTTCTTGTCCTTTGCTGTAATCTGTGCATCATGTTATATAATCAGGAGAGGACTCAGTCGAAGTGTACCTGTTCTTAACACGGTTCACAACCAAAAAAGTGGAACTGAGCAGAACACAAAACTTAACAATACTTTGTTCATTGTGATAGCTGCTTCTCTTGTATGTTGGTTCCCAAGTGTTGTAGTTTATAGCATTTATTTTCTGTTCAGGCGACGTTGTCTCCCAAGTTCTCTGTTTAACTTGTCCTCATGTTTTCGTTTGGCGAATTCTTGGGTCAATCCAATCATTTATTGTTTTAAACTTTCCATGTTTAGACGAGCGTTGAAAAGCATAAATCCTTGTAAAAGATCCCAACGTTACAGAGTTAGGCAAAACTAATACTCGACTATGAAAAAAGCTCCTCGCTTGATTGACTTTGATAATGACTTTCATGATGCTGTCGAAAACTGAGTCAGTTACTGCTTCCGACAACCGGTTCTTTTTCAAAACTGATCTCGCCCAAACCGTCGTTCAGACTAAATGATCTACATCCATAAAGTTGACTTAGTCTTTCGAAATCTTGTTCTCTCTCTGAAGAAATGTGTTGCATAATCACCAAGGTAGCGTTCACGAGGAACATACCGAGTAATGGCCACATGAGGTATCTACTGGTTGTTGAAGTTTATCTGATGTATTTTCTGTGATCCAGTGGACTAAGTCGCAGTATTAAAGTATAAGTTGAACGAGTGAAACCAAAGCAAAGATTGTCTTTTTCCCCTAAGGTGTCCAATTTGAAACATCCAAATGGAATTGATGTTATGAGAATTCTAAGCTTTCCAGAGTCTCAAAAGTATGGAAAGTGCCTCGCGTCATCTTCGCCACAGGTAACTAAATTTAAAATCATAAGTTTGTACAGAAAAGTCGTTTACGCAACATCCGCTCAAAAATTAGGTTACTGAAATTTTTTAATCTAAGAAAACTTATCAATATTCGTCGTGTTTTCTATGAAAAAGTAAATAATGCTAAAACACTTTTGTGAACCATTGCAGCTTAAAGTGATTTCATCTCCAGTTGGTCTTTTGTCGAGTCTTAATTGAAAACAGAGTCTCGGTATACCATTGGAGGTTTGCAGAGTAATATTTTTATTAAAACAGAGTTTTAATTTGATCGTACTCTTCTTTAACCACCTGCAGTTGTGTTTTAAACAAACTGAGGAAAAGTGGCAGTTTCAATGCTTTAGGCAAAGACCGTTAAGCTGAATAAAAGCCTCCGAAATCAGGGGAATTGTTTTTAGAATATTACAGAGCCTTAAGGGTATCGGGTAAATTTTATCGTGACATATCCAAAATCTTTCAAACTTTGAACAATGAAGACAGTAAAGACTATAATGTCGACAAAGTTCTCTTTTCACTCAATTAATCCATACTCCGGGCAACTATAATTATATTTCTAAGTCAACAAATCCTCAGAGTGAATGCAGATGTTTTTCATAAGACACTCATGCCTCTCTCCCAACCAACCAGATAAAGCTTGGTCTACAAATTGAGTAAGGAGGCAATTTACAACACCTTTTTGAAAACTTTGACTCATAAAAGACAACACAATTACACAAAAGGATTTGGCCAAACTGTCAGCTACACCATGATAACTCTTTATGCAGAACGAAAATTATATTTTTTCAGCTTAATGCTATTAACAGCCAATGCTTAATTCAACCGAAAAATCTCAAGAAACCAGTGGGAAATGAAAGTGAAAACAAACAAAGTTTTGAACTTGCAGAAAAATCTTGGCATCTGGTCGGTTGGG